ATGCAGTCGCCAATGCGACCTGGCAACGCACGCCAAACGACAGAATCATCAGACAGCTCGTCGGAAGACACTTCTGCTGCCTCGGTCTACGCAGCGAGCATTGCTTCCGCACCAATACCGAACACGGATCACTCACGCACAAAGTCGAGGGAGTTATCTGCACAGGAAATTGCCGCAGCCGCCGCCGCAGCAGCAGGAGCAAGCAACATGGCGACAAAGAAACAGACTATTAACCAATCCCTCAACTCTGCCACAGCAGCAGCCAGGAACTGGCTCGCAGCCAAGCAGAACGCAAAGCCCAACACCAGTACCACCAACAGACCACCAACATCCGAGGGCCCGAGCATAGATCACGACTCATCGTCATCGTCATCTCTTGACCCCCGCCCGCAACTCCACTCCAATCCCTCCATCTCGAAATCCCACTCCGAACCCATGGGTAGAGGCCAACCCCTTCCTCCCCCAGGCACACCTCTACCGCACCCCAAAAACGAAAAACGACAAACGTGGGCCATCCCCGCCGCAGCTTCTTCCACGTTTGCGAATCTCACGAAACGCAAACCCGTCGTCCCTGGTCCCAGCTCCCCCGCCGTCTCCAGCAAACACTCAGTCGAAGATCTCATCGATAGCCCAAAAACAGCACTAGGCACAGCCTCCCTCTTGCCCGCCGCACACTTCCCAGATCAAGACGCAAGGACAGGAGGTGGCGGAGATGACGACGACGGGGAAGATGTGTTTCGGGAGATGCGGCGGAGGAAAAGCAGTGCTGGCAGTGCTGGTACTGCGCATACTGCGAGTGAGCTCGCGACGCCGCCGCCGCCGTTGCCCAAACGCAGGCAGAGACAGCCGAGTTTAAATCTGAGTGCGCATACGAGGCGGGCGAGTCAGAATCAGAATCTGCCGCAGCTTGGTGGGGAGGGCGAGGGGTTGTTGGTTGTGGAAGCGCCGGTCGTGGAGGGGAGTACGGGGAGGGACGATGAGGGGAGTAGGGAGAGGGGTGTTACGTGAGGAGGGTAGTGTTGAGGTAGTTCATGAATGTCATTCTCGGCACCAAGGCAAAGTCATGCAAGAAACCGAACTGAAAGCCTGCTAATAGTTTGTGTAATATCTCTTTTGGCCTATCTGCTTGATGACCTTTTCTTGGGGTATAAATCTTCATCTCCAGGGATCATCGTCCTCATCCCATTTTCGCGTTTGAAAAGTCCATCTCGGGATGCTGCTTCTTGAACTGCTCCAGGATATCCGCCTTCTTCTGCTCGTCGCTCGTAGGCTTCCCTAACTCCTTCTGCTTCTGGTCAAACATCATCTTCTCCACCATGCCGCGTGTCTCTCCGTCGAGGTCGCCCAGCTTGCTGTTCTCGGGCTGGATCTTGGAGGTGTCGATCTTGGGCGCTGTGGTGACGACGTGGGCCCACCACTCCATCTGGTTCACCTTGTCGAGGTGGATGGAGATCTCTTTCTGGGACCCGACGGAGGTCAGTGTCCAGGTGGAGTCGTCGACGCGTATGGCATGAGGCAGCTCGCCCTGGACAAAGCGTTAGCACATGCTTTTGCTGGAGGGGAATAAACAAGGACGAACGTCGATGAAAGGCTCCTGGCCCTTGATGCCGGCCTTGAGCGCGTTGCGGGTAATCTTGACATCCAGGTCCTTGCCCTTGTACTTGCCATCGATGGTGATGGCAATGTCGAGGTCCTTGATGGTCTGGTCCCACTTGTAGGGCAGGGCGGCCTGCTCGGCCTGCTCCTTTGCGCGGGCGTCGGCGTCGGCCTTCTCGCGCTCTTCGGGTGGGGGTGAGGCAGACATGGCGGCGTGTTTGGCGGCGTGGTGGGAAAAGTTTCAGTGTTTGGGAGGGGAGCGTGGGCGGGACACGATGACGCTCCTCCGCCGATCCATCGTTCGCAGCAAGCCCGACGCAAGCGCAAGCTCCACCATGCGCCCTGCTTCACTCCTCCTACCCCGGTCCACTCCAATAACGGACATGCTCCTCGGATTGCAATCTACGGGCCACCCTCTCCTCTATTGATAACGCGACGACTCCTATCCTTCCACCGCGCCGTAATGCTCTCCTAGCACCGCCCGAGCCATTGCGACACCCGGCCACGACACCCGCACCCACCGCCAGCACGACGGCTACACGGCACCACCGAGCCCGCGGCCCAACCGGGCAGCCACCTGTGAAGTCATGGCCAGCTCCTTCGAGAAGAGTGTCAAGGGCGGCACCAAGATCAAGGTAGCTATGCGCCCTCCTTCTTCCGGTTGCGCCATCACGCGGACTAACACACGATACAGCTCGCAGCGCCCAAATCCAAGTATGTCGAGCACATTCTCGTCGCGACGCATGCCGGCGAGGCAGGCGTTGCTGAGATCTTCCGCGCCCTCACGAACCGACTACGCGACTCGACATGGACCATCGTATTCAAGAGCTTGATCATCGTACATCTCATGATAAGAGAGGGCGAGCCCGAGGTCACGCTCAAATACCTGGCGCAGAACCCACACAGAAAGCTGGCCATCAACCATTTTACAGAGGGTACGTCTTGAGATTCACTTCCGGGCCGCCCAGCCAGGGTCATGTGGCTACAACACGGGCACGAATTGGGCCGCAACCGGGTCGCCCAATGCCCTGTATCTTGAGACGGATGGCATTTGGACTGCAACAGAAGGCATACACCAGGCGCTAACATTGCGTGCAATAGTACAGACCCAGGGCCACAACATCCGGACCTATTCCGAATACCTGCTGCGACGTGCGATCGAATATGGCGCCACCAAAGTCGACTACGTGCGCGGCGGCGAGGGGCGGCTTAAGCGGCTGACTGTTGAAAAAGGCCTTCTTCGTGAAGCCGAGAGTGTGCAGGACCAGATCAGATCGCTGCTCAAGTGCCAGCCCTTCGACGACGAACCAGAAAACGAGATCACCATGACAGCGTTCCGATTGCTCACGATGGATTTGTTGGTACTCTTCCATGTTATGAACGAGGGCACCATCAACATACTCGGTGAGTCCAACATGTGTTCTTGGTTTACAGGGTATTGATAAAGTAGAGCACTATTTCGAGCTGTCAAAGCCAGACGCAACGCGCGCGCTGGCAGTATACCGCACATTCGTCAAGCAGACTGAGGCCGTCGTCCAATACCTTAGTCTTGCAAGAGCACACGAACACTCGACAAGGCTGGAAATCCCCAAGATCAAGCATGCTCCTACCAGTCTGGCAGCATCCCTGGAAGAATATCTCAACGACAAGGACTTCGAGATCAACCGACGACAGTACATCGCCGAGAAGGAGGCGAAGAAGAACGGAGGCAAGCCTACCAATGGCGCTAGCAAACCCTTGGATACGAAGCCCTCCACGGTGAATGCACCCTCAAACAATACGAGCAGTCAACAGCCAGCAGCAGCCTCGAAACCCTCCTCCAGCGCACCCTTAATTGACCTCTTTGCATCACTCGAGGACAACCAACAGACAATGGCCACGCAGCCCATGATGCAGCAGTATCCCCAACAAACAGGCTTCCAGGTTCCACAGCAGACGGGCTTTCCTCAACAGCAGCAACAGCCCTTTGCTATGCAGAATGGCCAGAGCACCAATCCATTCCAGATGCAGCAGCCACAGGCGCCGCAGATGCAGGCACCCCAGCTCCAGTCACAATTTACAGGCGCAGGCTTTGGAGGCTATTCGCCCCAACCGTTCGGTGTACAGAATACCATGCCTTCAATACCGCAGAATGGTATGCCTGATTATTCACAGCAGCAGCAAATGCAGATTCCCACAATTGCCGAACCCTTACAACCACAACAAACGTCAACAAACCCATTCCGACAGTCAATGCTGCCCAGTGCCGAACCCAAGATGCTCACTAGCCCTACCAGCACTGGATCGCTCAATCGGTCATCCACGAACCCATTCGCAAAACAAAGTACCGGTTTCTCGCAATCGCAATCACCCATCAATTCTCCACCTTACTCCATGTCACCCATCCAAGAATCACCATTTGCTCCGATGCAGCAGCAGCCTTTACAGCCGACTCCAACCGGCACAAATCCATTTGCACGGCAGCCCTCGCCGCAGAGTGCCGCATCTCCACAAGGTGGCCTTACAGTGAACGCCACAGGCAGTACCAATCCCTTCCGGCAGAGCGCTTTTGTCAACCAGCAAACGGGGCAGGGTTGGCAGAACACAGGTAGCCAAGGGACGATGGGAGGGATGAGTCTGGATCAGGTACCCACAACGAGTGTCTTTCCACGGCCTGGACAGCAACAGCAGCAAAACTTTCTTGGCTAGGATCAAGACATGATGATGGGTCAATGGTAGACTGCGACTGTAAGAAGCTCAAAGGGCAATTCATACACTCGTGAACGGGCATTTTCATTATGGATGGCGTTTCTATATCGCTCGCCGCTGTAGTTATTACGTACTCGGTTGGACATAATCATGTTGCACTGCGCAAGGCTAGTTGTGTGTATATTGGTTTCTTGGAAGGGGCGTCGGGAGCCCGCTCAATATCGGATGTCCAAGGGCAGATTGGTTTGTTTTGTGATAGATCATGTACCGACGATGTTGTCGTTTGACGAGCTGGGCTGAGCCAGGAGGGGAAGCCCCTCGCTAATGCATTATAATTACTGTCGCACACCCCGCGTTGTTCTCCCACTGCACAGAGCGTTGAGCCTTGACTTTGACTATTGTGTTGGCAATTCTACCTGGGAGGTCGCGTCGAGTGGGGCTAAATAGTCGCCACTGCCTCCTAGGTAAATGCAGGGGTAATACAAGCCACGTGCCGACGCGTTGCCGTAGATTTAGCGCGACGGGCACAACTTGCCTATCAAACCTCACAGTCGACACAACACGACCCACAATCTCACTCACTCAACGCCGCTTGATATTTACCACAAATGACGACGGTTTCTGCCATCTCTATCTGGACCCGCCTCCCATGACCTTATTGAAAGAGCGCAAATTTGTCGACTGGCGCTGGCAAGCCCGCATCAGCGTTATCAACAATGAAACCTGACGGGTCTCTGGATGCTCCCTTCACTCTGGATGACGACCCGCCTAGTCATGTACCTGCGCCTACAGTGCGACGGCGCCATCGCCAAACGCTTGACCAAGATGGGCTTGAGGAGATCTCCGACGCGCAGCAAGCTGCAGCTGCATGGAAGGAGGTCGCCGCACGGAGACAAACGAAACAAAGACACGGGAAAAACATGAGCAATGATACGTCTGGAGGAGATAGTAGTACGAAGGACAGCAATCTCACAAACAAACCGCGAGACCGGACGTCGTCATCCACGAAGTCTGTTGAGATTGTTGATCTTTCAATCGATGAAGACGAACCGCCAGTATCCGGACAAGCAACACAATCAGGCGCAAGTACTAGAGTGAATCAGCGTCCAATTCAGGGACCACAGGGTTTTGTTCCTTTGCCTACTACGCGTCACGAAGCTGTGCTTCCTGAGCGAGCTAAGCCTGCTGAGTCTCCTAAGAGAACGAGTCGGATATTTTCTCTCCCCATGGAATCTCTGGCAACTCCGGCGTATCACTCACATCATGCACCTCTATCACCGGTCGCACGAACAGCGGGGCCATTTTCGGGACCTTCAGAGCCCTCGACAACGCCGACTTATCACTCACACTTTGTGCCCAGCTCATCAGTGGTGCAAGCTACAGAACCAAGTGCGGAGCTTTCAAGGGGACCTTCAGCAAACCCAGTCTATCAACCACGCTACCTGCCTCGACCATCAGTCACACAAGCAGCGGGACCAAGTGCGGAAGTCTCCAAGATTACGCCGCTGAACCGCTCGCCGTCAGCCACATCGACACCAAGGACAGAACCGAACGTTACCACTCAAGCGATACTGGAACATGAGAATCTTTTCCCTCAGCCTACGGACCGTGCGACATCGGCCCTCGGAGCCTCAACCGACCGTACCGCACCCGTCTTGGACCATGCCGTGGATCCATCGGCGCAGCCAACCAGTGATATTTCTGAGACTCCACGTGAACAAGCCCCTTTCAGTCGCGGAGATACAGTTCCCGAGTCGGACGACGCGACACCGGACGATGATAGCGGCAGCATGACTATCCCCTTGCCTAATAAGTCGCCCGAGCCAAGCTTTTCAGCAATACAAAGACTGCCGCAGAAACAGAAAGCCATCAAGTCAGTGAGACGAAGAGATGATGGGTTCTCGGGTTCACAGCTGCCTGTCAGATCACCGCGTCAGTCTGCGACTGATCATCGGGACGTAACAAACTTATCCTTCAAGCCTCTCGACCTGGGCTCGAGTAAGTCGAGGTCCGGGTCGCCTGTGGTAACACGTCGTAGCCAAAGCAAAACTCCAACGATAGACACTAGTATCATTGCTGATAGCGCGCCTGTGCAGACGGAAGAAGAATCCGTCAGGGCTGCCAGTCCTGTGGAACGCAGCACAACGCCGACACAATCGCCGCCACCGCCACCTCACGATGAGGCAGGCGAAACTGCACCGGGGCGTGCCATTAGCTCGACACCTTTACTGTCCCGTTCTGCCACCCCTACTGCCCTGCGTCCTGTCGAAGCATCAGCAGAGCCGACCCGGCCCTCTGAAGCGCCATTACCAGTCCCCGAAATTATGATCCCAGATGTACCAGCTCCGGCAACAGTCGTCAGTGCTCATCCAACCATCCAACCCGAACACCTTCGGGTGCCTGTCGAGAACGATGGTGGTAGAACAAGCAAGAAGCCCCCACTGCAAGCAGATGTGCTCGTCACTACACGCTCAGCTGTAGAAGCGTGTTTGAAACGTCATGTGGCGGAACGACATGAATTACATGCATACCTGATGGAGACGAAGATGCGGAATCAGAGAACGTTTCAAGAACAAGACCTACGCGCCCGGTCCCGTAAGCAGAAGCGTCCACAACAGCCAATCCTACCCGAAAGGTACATTCAGAAGACTTCCCCCTTTGAGAACATGCGTGCTATACAAGTGCCGTTCGACAGAGCCAACGCCAAGCGCCTCGTGGATATGAGTCAGGAAACATTCATCAAGGCCAAACCCAAGGACACAGTGGTCAAGTCAGGCTTAGCCGTGCCCACTACAAAGTACAAGAGTGATGCGCCAAAAATTCCTCCTTTCAAAGAGTATGTCAGTCTGAGGAACAATGTTCTTAAAGACAATGAGTCAAAACTACTCGCAACACCCTATTTCCAGGACGAAGACTATCGTGGTCGCGAGGTTCTGCTGGATACGCTTCCTTATATGTACGAGATGACGCATGACGAGAAGGGGCCGCTAGACTTCCGTAAGGAACAGTGCCGGTTCTACGATAAAGCCATCGAAGCATTCCTGTCTGAGGTAGGCATCACGTGGAACGATATCCTGTTTTGGTTACTGGCCCAGGATGAAGACCTTGTACGAATCAACGACTCTTTGAATGGAAGCAAGCAGTTTGAAGCACAGCTCCTCGAAAGATCACGATATCACATTGAGGAGTTTGAGAGAGACGGTGAGCCGAAGAAGGCTATTCTGTTTGACCGGAACAACAAAAAGTGGGAAGAGTTCGTCGCACAGCTTGAAGAGCCGATCCCGAGTGCTCTGAGACTTGCGGCAACAGCTTCTGCAGCGGTATTCAAAGAATGTGAATTCAGCATCTGGTACCTGGCTCAACAGTCCAAAGCTGTACAGAGTCTCATACGGAAGAAGTCTGCACATGAGCAGTCTTCCAAGCACTCAACGTACAAAAAGATCATGTGCAGAGTATGCCATCAGTAAGTACCAATGCGTGAATTTTGATGCCGAAATCCTAACCTTCTTGACAGACACGATTGCCTTCTTCATGGCGAGATTAGACAAATACCCGAGGATTCCTGGAAGACGGACTCGGAAGACGAAGAACGCGCTACACAGGCAACTGATGATACCAGTCGTCGAGGCTCCAACAACAAAACTCCGCGCCGTGTGTCGAACTTTAGCAGAGACGACACCGACGATGAGAACGAACCCGGCGACCCCTTGCCCGCACATTTTGACTCCGACTCCGACATTGAGAAGGTCATAAACTATAAGCTTCCTGCAAACCCAAGCGCTTTCGAGTCTTGTTCAGAGACGGAGATGATTACTCCCAAAGGTGCAAAACCGCCACCTGGTAAGTTTAATAGCACTTGGTGGCTGAACCAGGATACAACGCAACATTGGGAGAAGAGGAAGCCTTTTTTCCCATGCAAGCACGAAGGCAGCTGCGAGAACGCGAAATGCCGGTGCTTCAGAGAAGGCATCAATTGTGAGAAAACATGCAAGTGCTCTCACTCTTGCAATCGACGTTATCCTGGTTGCAGTTGTGCAACAGCGTCAGGGAAGCGCGTGTGTCTTACACAGACATGTCTCTGCGTCAAGTTCAATCGAGAGTGCGATGCAGACCTTTGTGGCTCTTGCGGAGCATCTGAAGTCCTTGACCCGGTGAATCGTTATAACGATGAAGTGGTTCAACGCACCTGCTGTAATGTTGCGATACAGAGGGGTGTTCCTCGGAAAACATTACTCGGTCATTCGGAAGTGCATGGCTTTGGACTCTATATGGGCGAGGACATCAAGAGTGGCGAGTATATTGGTGAATATACTGGCGAGGCCATCTCGGTCAAGGAAGGTGATCGCCGAGTGACGATATACGACTACCAGAAGACGATGTATCTGTTTCGTCTAAACTCGAGTGAGTTTCTATATTGCTCTCTCGCGGATCAGATTGCTAACACCAACATGTAGAGCAGGAAGTTGATGCGACATACATGGGTAACAAACTACGCTTCATCAACAATGCCGACGACAAGTACACGAACTGCGGCCCTAAGAACTTGCTGTGCAACACGGTCTTTCGCATCGCGCTCTTCGCCACCAGAGACATCAAGGCAGGCACCGAACTGTTTTTCAACTACAACTATCCCAAGGAGAAGACAGAGCAATTCAAACAGCCGAATGCCAAGATCGTCGCGGTCAAACAGACCAAGCAAAAGACGAAGAAAAGGGAGTCACTCACCAGTCTGAGCCAGCCCATCGAGGACCGCTCACGTATCCTTGCCGCCACAGCAAAAGCCAGAGAGGCAAAAGCAGCGAAGCGGAAAGAGGCCATGCTGCAAGAGGGCGGCGGGGAGCCAGCCACAAGAAGGCGCTCTGGAACACTTCAAGCACGAAAGGCAGCTACGAGCAAACCCGGACGCAAAGCAGTGCGAAAGTCCAAGCGCGGAGGGCTCAATAGGAACGAGTCCACAGGTTCAGATACGGGTATGGATGTAGAGGCAAGCGACCCCGAAATCCCCGAAATTCCTCCCGTTATTGAGTCGCAGAGCACTCAGACTAGTCTGTACGTCCAGGACACGGAGGCGGAAGACGACGAGTTCATCTTGCCGGATACCCAAGAAGACGAAGAGCAGGATGTGGCTGAGCCGGCCTCTGAGGATGATGAACCGCCCGGTCGATCTACGAGGTCTCGTCGTGGGCCGGGTCGACCGCGTAGGAGGGCGTCGGATGTGGCGCCGGTGGTTGCGGTCAAGCAGGCGGTTAAGCAGGCGGCCAAGCAGAAGAAGTCGAAGATGGGTGGTGCACGACCAGGTGCTGGCAGGAAGAGAAAACGACCCGTTATTGCTAACAGCGATGATGAGTGAGACCTCTGTGCTAGTAGTTGGGATTGTACATTGGTGGAAGGATGAGAGGGACGATGCGAGTGGGATGTCTGTGTTCATTTTTGTGTTTAATACCCCATTCTATATTGCTTCAAGCAAAACATTGCTACAGAAGAGTTTCACCTGCCTGTAAAGTTTCCAGTCCAAATGCGCAAGACTTGTTGGCACCCTCAACGATGGAAGTTGCATAACCTACTTAGCCACCCTTGCCACTGCGCAAGCAGCTGCGACACAAACCTCCAGAATCACGACAGACTCGTAAAATCCCCGCAACACCAAAGCCACCCCCTCTCCCACCCCGTACCAAACTGCCGCCCTAATCCAGAGCTGCCAGCCCAACCCAACGGCCGCACCAATCTCCGGGGACGCGACCCGCGCAAAGCTGCAAGCCAGTACCGGGCGGCATGCTTACCCATCTAGATTCTAGTGTGCAACCACACCCAGCGATCTGCAACAGCGGGGAAAAGCAAACGGACATTCGTTCGAGACCGAGACTATCGAATCGAACGCTTGGGTAGCGGGAAGAGGGGGAATAAGCAGCGGAGACTGGAGGTGTCATCCAGACGTGTGTTGAAGTGAATGTCACATGACCCACTAGTGTCGAGTATATAGTCTAGAGATTCCCCCAGCATTATTAATTTATTCTTCTTACTTAATTCTCTCTTCTCTCTTTAACAAGTTATAAGCCTAAGTGCTCTTCTTAGAAATATTAGCTAAGTAGTACCTTATTTAGAGTTTAATTTTAGGCTAAAAAGTTTTGCTTAGTAAAATAGAATATTTAAAAGGCTAAGAATAAAGCTACTCTCTATTATACTAAAAGCTATTACTACGCTACAATAACGCCTGCCTACCTATAGTAAGAAATACCTACAACATTAATATAGTAATAGAGTAGGTTACCTAAGTTATTACTATAGATTTACTACCTTTAGGCGCGTTTAGGCCTAGCGTAGGTAACTATAGCTACGCAAGACATACTATAAAGGCATAATATACCTTTAAGTCTAGTAAGGTAGGCCTAGCTTAGCTACTAACTACTTTATTACATAATAGGTTATCTAGTAGAGATTTAGTTAAATCTACTACCTTATATAGTAGTAGAAGCAATAGTAATAGTAATAGTAATTTAAGCTTTAAGTAATACGCTATATCTAATATAGTATAGCCTACTACTAAAGATAAGCTAAATCTTAGCAACTACTTTAGTACTCTAGTAGAGATAGACTTATTCTATTACCTAATAGGCAAGGCTAAAGCTAAGCCTAAAGCGCCTACTAGCAGAAAACGTAGTAGACTGCCTAAAGCTTAGGCTTAGGCTAGCTAGTTAGCTTCTGCGCCTACGCTACTTAAATCTTAGCTTAGCGTAGATTGCTAGCGTACTTTAGAGAGCGCCTTAAGCGCGTCTACTAGCTTTACGTAATTACTAAATTAGCACTAGAATTTATAACCTATAAACTAATATACGTTCTCTATAATAGCGTCTAAATTAGTAGCCTTACTATAATTATATATAAACGCCTTTAACTCTATAGCCTTTCTCTAAGGCCTCTAGTTACTTATTTTACCTCTAATTAGCAAACTACTCTTCTTGCAAATATAATAGCCTATAATAGCTAATAATAGTGCCTCTACTAGTATTAGAAGCTAGCTAAAATAGCGCTATAAATACGTAATAAAGATAATAGAAGAGCGCTCTAAGCTTTACAACTCTACAAACTATAGTAGCTAGATAAAGATAATAGAAAACGCGCTTATATAATATAATATATAGAGCATAGTTATATAACTAGCTCTAGAACTACGCTTACGCAGCTTTAAAGAGTAGAAAGTAAAGAACTTCTAGACTAAGAGTGTAATAACGCTAAATATTAAAGATAGCTCTTAGAATATTATTAATATAATAGTAGGCAGCGCCTTAATAATAGTAGCTAAGACCTAGGCAGCTCTAAGAGACGCCTATAGTTACTCTAGCACTTTAGAAGTTTAGAGCCTCTAGAACACTTTTTAAGCTACTACGCTATTAGCTTTCTAGAATATTTCTAACTTTATAAACTCTCTTATAGAATCTAATACTACCTTTACTTATATTAATTCTGCCTACTATCTACTATCTTAGCTAGTAAATCTTTACTTTCTAAATAACCTAGGCAAGTTCTATAAGCTCTAGGTATAAACTTAGGTAGCTATATAGCTAAATATTATTACTATAGACCTACTCTAGGTAATTAATCTTTATACACTTACTAAGAGTACTATTAAAGTTAAAATCTATCTTTGTATAAGCGCAGCTAATATGCTATAGGTAGTAGTAGCTAGCGTAACTTTACGCTCTACTCTTTACTACTTGCGCTGCCTTTATAAAACTAATTATACTAGTAATACCTACTAGATACTACACTCTAAGCTACGTAGTAAGCGTAAATTTAATAGTAATAGAGGTAGCTAGAATAGGCGCTATAGTAGATAAAGTAGTAGTAAGCGCCTACGCGCTAAGCTAGGCAACTTTAACACTACTATAATTAATATATACATTACTAGCCTTAAATTTTTAGATCTAACTACACTCTTTACTAAAATTCTAAGCGCTAGCTAGTAGTCTAAGATAGTTACTAAGAACTAAAATTAGTATATTAATTCTAGCGTAATTTACTATATTACCTAGAATAAGACTACCTTTACCTCTCTTTATAAAATAGAGAGACTAGTTTACCTTAAAGGTATTAGTAGTTTTCTACTCTACTACTAGGTAGGTACTATTATAATCTAAATTAACGTTACTAGAACTAGGCGCTTCTTTATAGTTTATAATGTTATCTTTACTCTCTACGCTACTTTTAACCTATTATCTATAAAGTAACTTACTACTACTACTAGGCTGTACATAATCTTTAACGCTAATAAAATTTAAATTATTTACTATAGTATAGGCCTTCTTGTAGCTATAGGCTACAGCTCTAGATAGAATAATCTCTACTACCTTATAATAGCGCCTAAATTAGCTGCGCTTACTACTCTTTTAGTAAGTAATAATAGCGCAACTAGCGCCTTAGGCGCTCTCTAGCACTAGCAAACTAGGTATCTATCTAGTAACTACCTATAAGTAATAAAAAGCGTAATAAAAGGTATAGAGTAGGCTACTATTAGTAATAATCTTCTTACGCACTATAAGCTCTATAAGCTAAGTAAGTAAGCTAGATAGAACTTTTATACGCTCTATATGCGCTCTATATAGTCTTTTAAGCAAATATATAGTAACCTTAGTAGTCTCTATCTACTCTTCTACTAGAGAGAGCGCTATTATATCTTCTTTATTAATAACTATACTTACTAGAAGATAGTCTCTATTCTTAAGTAGAAGAGCAACGCTATTTCTACTATTACTACCTTCTTTACGTAGATTTAGCGCTAGTATAACGCTACTATTTACTTTCTCTATACTAATAATAGTAGTAAATTTATTAATAATAAGCTTAAGGCTATAGTAGCCTCTAGTAGCTAGGTTTATAAAACTACAGCGTTTTATAACTCTAAGTAGAATAGCGCTGCTAAGTAAATTAACTATATAAACTAGAATATTACGCACTTCTTACTATATATAAGCGCTTTTGCTAACGCTCTCTAGCCTAAGCTAATTTACACTACTACCTATCTATATAACTACTTCTTTACGCGTATATTATTATTTAAGACGCCTTTTAAAGCTCTATATAGAATAAAGCTAGATATCTTTTATCTTTGCGTTATTAGCTGTCTTAGATATATAATAATACTAGATAGTAGCTATAAGAAGCTTAACTCTAAAGTATACTAGTATATCTTGCTTAGCTATAAGAGCACTAACTAATATTACGTATAGAATAAAATAAGACGCTGTATTTAAACTATTTATAACGTCTACTTTTATAAAGATAAATTTTCTCTAGTCTCTAATATTAGACTATAAATTAGCGCTAACAACGTAGCGCCTCTCTCTAACACTAAAATTTAGTAGTAGCTTATTAGTAGGCCTAAAGCTACTCTAAAGCTACCTAAGCGCCTCTAGTTACTATAAGTAGCGTCTAAAGAACTATCTAGTAAGTGTATAAGATTACGCTTTTAAATTACTATTACTAATAGTATAGCTAGCTAGAATAACTATCTTACTAACGTTTATAAACTCTTAGTTGCAAATATTCTTAAAGAGATCTAAGCCTTAATTACGTAGCTTAAAGTTACTTACTAATTCTACTATATATCTACTACTATCTCTACTCTTATTGCCTTAATTAAATGCCTCTAAGCTATAGCTAAAAGCGTTCTTGCTAAACCTTCTAAGCTTAATAAACCTATATATAAGTAGGTAATATCTAGCACGCGCTTAAAGAAGTAGCACTAGAGTATAAAGAAAGAATATAACTTACTTATAGAGTGTAGTACTTAGAAGATAGTACTAGCTACTAGCGTGTCTACTAACTCTAGAACTCTATATAGTTGCTAGGTGCTTTGCGTTAAGCGCAGCTCTAGTAGTGCTATTACTAGGTATAAGGCTTGCTAGGTAGTGCGCAGCTTTAAGTAGCGCTATAGCATTAACTTTAATAAGACGTTTACTACTATTATTAAGCTAATAACTTATAAAGCTATCTTTACTATTATAGTAATAAATAACTAGAACGTAGAATAAATAGACGTTAAAACTACTTTCTTATATAGCTCTATTAATAAAGAGGTATACGTAAAGCTACCTAATAGCTTTACTTAAGAAGGTAAGATCTACTAACTACGCAAAGCTCTTTATAGTCTTAAGTAAGTACTATAAATTTAGTATAAGACTCTTACTAGCTTTCTTAAAGGCCTTAGCTATAAGCACCTCTATAAAGATTATAGTATCTTTATCTACTCTTTATACTATACTATTATTACTATCTATATTAATAACTTACTTATTACTAGCTCTAATACTACTACTATTTACTAACTTAAGGTAGCTCTTAACAGCTAGTTTT